AAAGTTATGTACATATATATAAACTTTTCTTTTCTTTTTTTATATGGTCATAACTCAAAGGATTGTGCTAGTTTTGAAAATTAGCTTTGGTAGTATTTTGAGTCTAGACATGCAATCTATTTATAAGGGACTGAGGGGATTGGACTGAAGAGTAAATCTAAATTCAAAGGAAAAAGTCTAGACATTGAAGATGGTCACTTCTCCAATCCATCAGGAGACTGACCTATCTGTTGCTTTCATCTTAAGAGCTTTTACTTTTTCTTAAAAAAGTGGATACTGTTCTCTAAAACTAGGGCTTACAAATGGAGTTAAGTAGGTATTCCTGAGTACCAAGGGGATAAGAAGGAGCAGAGAACCCATAGCAATAGAAAGACTACCAACTCCCTGGCTAATTTAGAAATTACAAGCACTATAAGAATTTAATTTAGAATTAAAAAGACTCCTATTAATTTAGAAATTTTAAGCCCTGTATAAAAGGATTTCTAGCAGAACTACAGTTTTCTTTAAGTGAGTTAAAATTAGGGTACAGTATCTGTACTAATTTTATTTTTTGGATAACATAATTATGTTTTAACTTCAATACAGCTTTTAAAAGCTTATAGTAAAAGTTCAACTATTCTGTTATATTAATGTCACTGCTTAAAAATTTTTTTGCAAGGGAACAATATATCCTCTATAATTCAGTTTTGGTGATATTTGTTTATCTAATTATACATTACTGATTTTGATGCAAGGAATATTATTTTTTGATGGAATACAATTTTTTTCTCCGTAAGTTTGCTTCACACAATTTAATTGTGACATTGTGTTCTTAAATATATCCTCATATATAATTCTTGTATTGAGAAATTGCTGTATTCCTTGCATTTGTATTTGGTATTTTTTAATTTATTGAATAAGTTTATTTCTGTTTTAATAATATTAGTACCATTTACCAATTTTAGATGAAATTCATACTAATCCCTAGAGGCTAATACAGTCTGAAATAGCTAAAGCATTATAAATTTTGGCACTCAATCCCCAAGAATCAAAGGTATTTTCAGTCTAAGCCAGCTAGTATGATGATACCTATCTAAAAATGATTAGTGTAAATGTTCTTTTAATTCCATATTCTCTTCTGTCTTTTTTCTTAATATTTTCTTAAAAAGTAACTATATGTAGCAACCAGAATGATGACAACATAAGTCAATTCCCAGCTCCAACTGATCTATCTTTTCTAAGCCAGAAAGCTACTTTTGTAAACAGGCAGTGGGACCTGGAGGGTTTCAGCCAAGAGACCTGTTATGTTGCTTTCCCTCTTCTGGGACAAACTCAAGGCCCTTCAGAAGGATTTGAAGGGCAAGTGACTTATAGAAAAAGACTGCAGCCAAGAATCCCATATCCATTCAAATTATTCATCAGTCGGGGTAAAAAAAATATTTGCAGATGAACAGAAACAGAGAACATTTGTGTCTAAATACTATCCAAGAAAAATGCTTGAGAAATGAATCTATTGCTTGAAAATAAATCTTAAATACTTCTAAGAACATTTATACAATATAAATTTCTTTTAAAAGTCTGAACAATAATATATGTATCCCCACAGTTGACATTTATCACTATTTCACAAATAAAATTTAGCAAGTTATATTTGTATAGGCAAATGTACTTTGAATGGAATCATATTTCATTTGCTGGAACATGTTATCTTGACAGATTTTTCTTTTTTGAACAGAATAAAAAACTTATTTTCATGCTTTTATATCTATGGAGTTAACTACTTTGATTTCATATCTTAGTGACTTAGCGAATCCTGAGATTTGGAGTTAGATGGTCTTAATTTCAGTCTATCATTTATTAGTTGAGGCAATTTACTAAACTCTTAATCTCTGGTTTTCTTTATTGTTGAAAAATGAATCCTGTATTATAGATGGTTAGAGGAATTATTGAAAATAGAAGTATCATAACAGGTATTTATAATAAACATCAACCATCAAGAATCTCTCCTTAGGAATGGTAATCACAACTACTTTCAAAGTAGTGATTGTAAATAAGGGAAAGAGGGAGCTGCTATGGAGAGGGATTTTGTGGGGTAGGAGAATTTAGCAATATTGTTAATATTTTATTGGATGTGGGTACTCCCATCCAATTATTTTGTATATTTTTCTGTATCTTAAGAAGTTCTTAGTTGTTAAAAATAATCTTTCCTTATGAAATACATAAAACTTTCCCATGAAATATTTTAATCAATAAAGTGTCTAGCATATTTCTTTCAAAGGACACTGTTTACTAGGGCACTATAAAATGTATGCTTCATAATTCTTAGCTTGTTTGGAGCCTGCTAGTCAGGATAACATTTCCTTCATGCTATTCTAGTTACATTATATTGCACAAAGTATCACATTTCCACTGTGTATTAAGTAGATGGCAGAGTTTTAGAATTGAACCTGGCTCTTAGAAGTACTGTTTGTTCCACACAATATTGATCTCTGTGATAATTTAATGACTCATGAAAAATCAAGAAATTTCGTGACCATGGGCTTGCATTTCTGCATAACACTTGGTGCTGAGTATTAGCCCTTTCCTTTAGCTGTGTCTCATGCTCCACAGTTATGCACAGCACACACTATGCTCCTTGGTACTGATCTCTAATGTCATTTGCCTTTTATCATAATCATAAATGTTTGTAGTAACTGCTTCATCCTTATAGGTAGTTTAGTTCATGACTGTTAGATTATACTTGGTAAATGACACAGATATTTTGCTGTGATATTTTAATTTGATATCATATATTTTTGATACCTTTATAAAGCACGTTCATATACATTTTCTCTACAAACATGAAGCACTTTTTTGTAGTTTGTCAGCTTCTTCTCTCATATCCAGTCAGTCCTTTCATGTTACCAGTTAAGTATTTCTCAAATCTAGTTCTTCCTATCTAACCTTAACTGCTACTGCTCCACCTCAGACCCTCATGTCTTTCACCTGGAATTCTTTAATCGTTCCTTAACTGAGCTACATGTCTTCAGTCACATTCCTTTCAGTTCATCCTCAAGTATATTGCTAGAATGATTTATCAAATTACAGACCTCATCTCATCACCTGAGTATTTCAAACTCTTCAAAGCGTCTCTATCTTCTATGGCAGTGATGCCAGGGTTCTTGTTCACAGAGTCAAAGAATGAACTTCGCAAACGCTCAAGGTAGGCAAGCAGGGGAGAGAGAGGCTTTTATTTAGAGGTAAAGCAAGAGGACAGAGCTCCCGACACATGCGGGGGGTGGTGAGGCAAGAGAGTCCATGGCTCAGCTTTGTCTAGGGGTTTATATTTTATTTTAAACTGAGTTGCCTATTTCTTCACTGGTTCCCACCTGAGTGCTGTCTTTTGTTTTAACCAATCCCACTGAAGATTGCCTATATTCCTAATTTGGTATTTCTATCCTAAAGAATTTGTGTGACTCTAACTTTGCCTAATGTTTAACACAGGAGTTTTGGTAGGAATTTCTTTGCACATTGCTACATTGTTCTGACCATAATTATCCTGTTCTGCTTCTGGAGGCCCTCACTCTACTCTTGTCTAAACCCACTGATGCCTATCTCAACAGGGATATGCAAACTTTTCTTTAGAGGCCCAGATAGTAAATATTTTAGGCTTTGCTAGCCCTAAGTTTCCTGCCACAAATAATTAACTCTGTTGTTGTTGAATTGAGCACAAAAGCAACTGACAGTATATAAAAGACACTTGCCATCTCGCCTTCCATGGACCACTCTCCCACCCTGTTTCTTACAGTTTATTCAGAAGCATTATTCAGATTCTTACCATATGAGTTCACTTACTTGTGGAATTTAAAAACAAAACAAAATTAACAAAACAGCGGTAGACTCAGAGACACTGAGAAGTGACTGGTGGTTACCATGCTGGAGGGGAAGGTAAGGGGGATAAGAGGGCACAAAACTCTCAATTGTGATATAAATTGGTCACAGGGTGACAGCTAGTAACTGTACTAGTTGGGGTGAGGATTTAAAAATGTGGGTAACTGTTGAACCACTGTGTTGTATACTTGAAACCAATATAAGATTGTATATCAACTATACATCAATAAAAAAATTCTTAAAATTTTCTGAGCACAACCTCTTCTTTCTATATTCAATTATCTCATTATTTTCATTCAAGCTGTTTCTTTCACAAGTAGCAAAATTCAAAAATATCATGTAAAATATTAATTTTCAAATGATGATATCATATATTAACATGAAGTTATTTAGTCACCTGCTTCCATCTTTATAAATGTATTGTGAAGTCTTAAGTGTTAAAAACTTTCGTAAGTTTTAAAAAACAGGCCTTTCATAAAAATCATGATACAGTCCATATTATAGTTTGGATACTGTTAACACATTATTCAAAAGTCTCAGCATAAGGTCACTGTTAGGAAAGTAGATTAGGTTCAGTATTTCAACCGAAATAAATCAAGGTTCACTAAGAGAATAATTTTAAAACTATAGTAAGAACTGAAAGCACTACTCATATTTGTGTCCTTTATCACAATCACCTTTCATAAAGTTAGGAAAGCTAGAAGTACTTGGTTTTAGGGTAAGAGTTAGCTGAGGTATTGGACTTCAGGTTGCTGTTTAAATTCTAATAGGTCACTTTGCATGTTTTTATATGCAAAGAAATAATACAACTTGAGACTATGTTGTTAAATATGTGGGTTTTGCTTCATTATTAAATTGCATTTATTTTGGCTATTGCTGATAGGTATATTTTGGGTACTATACAAAAGTTTTACCAGTTTAAAAAAAAAAAGAAAACTTCATTCTTGCATAATGAAAAGTGTGATTTGACTTCCAAGGTGAGAGTAGATTGCTCTGTGGAGCTGCTGTGGTGGAATTTTGTTAAGGTATGGATGAATATTAATACTAATTATGATTAAGTTCTCTAAATTTTCTGATACATAACAATGCATTAATTTCAAGCTCCAACTATTATAACTGACCTGTAAATATCTTTTATGATTGATTTTTAGCCACCAGCGGAACAGGCCAAAGCCAGACTACAGCTGGTTCTTGAAGCTGCTGGTAAGTGTTAATAATTAACTTTATTTAAATGAAAAAGTGCTAAATAAATCCTAGCATACTTGCAGGTGAATCAAAGAGAGAAACACCTATTTTCATATATCATAAATTTATGAGATCTAGATTATATATATGCCATATTTTACCTGAAATGTTTATTGCTACAATATAATGCTGAAATGTCATTATGTACCTTTGTACTTCTAAAATTGGCTTCAATTTTAGTTTTAATTTTGATGTATCTGATTTATTGACTTCTTTCTTTTATGGACTCTGCTTTTGGTGGCACATTAGATTTTCTACATTTTATGTTTAAGACTATGATCTATTATGATATAAATTGTATATAAGTTGTATATTTTAGATCAAGGTTTTCATAAGTACATAAGGACTGAGATAAATGTCATTTAATAATTCCTCCAATTACATTGGACTAACTCATTGAACTCTTTTGTTGGACTAATCTTAAAATACTGTATGTTTAAAAAAACACTGTATGTTTTATTTCTCAATAATGAGAATGCAATAGTACAATAATGTTATAACTTTGACTTTAGACATAGTACCCAGAGCCATATAGACATTACTTTAACTTTTTAAAAGCATAAAAGTTCCATGTTATCTCTTCTCAGTAGTGACTCTTAATGCTCTTCAAATTGTATGCAACTTATTCAAATAAAAAATTGCCAAGTTTAAACATGAATATCACCAAATTTATTTCTGAAATTTGTTTATTTAAAGATCTGTAAAGAGTTCATAATTTCCAATTGGAAAATGAAAATTCTTTTTTAACATCAAAAGTAATTTCAGATAACTAAATGATAGTAGCAATATTTTTAGTATTCATCAGTTGAAAAAATACATACATGCATGTTGATTCAGGGATTTCTTGCATTAGCTTCTTGTATTCTCACCCAAAGTGTCCACATTCTAAAGATTGGTAATGCCAGTATAAATGACATACAAACTTAATAAATAACAGAAGTAACTTGCTATATAGGGATAAAAATTGATAAATATTTTGACTGAGTCTCCATACCCTTCCATATTACTTTAAATGGACACATATTTTGTGCATTAATCTAACTCATTTTATCTTTGATTATGTAGAAAATGTGATGTATTAAAATTTTGCTTGCTATTGGGTTTTTCATATTTTGCTATAGGTTTTTCATATAGTGTATACTATGCTATTTTTATAGGATAAAAAATATATATTTATATGGTAGGATAAATATATTTATTTATATGTAGCTATATATTTGTAAATATGCATTAAATATATATAAATGTATAAGTATTTATCTACAATATAAATATGCTTTTAAATTTATATTTACAAATATGCATAAATATTTAATATATAAATATTTTATTATATAATTTATACTATAGGATAAAACTAGTTAATATGATTCTCTATCATTGCATAATATACATTCATTCTTCAGTGACATTTTGCTTTGAAAAAATATTTCCAGTTCCCTATTTGAGTACTGACAAACTCTTGTTTTAAAGGAAAATATTTACAGTTGCTTGGTTCAGAAAATATTTATTTCTATTAACACAGCTATGCAAAATTGCCTTTCATAGTTTTATACAGTTTTATCTTTTAATATTACTTTGAAGCTTAGTTTAAAATAGCTCTGACAGACCAAAGTGTACAATATAACTTGCTTATATCATGCCCAGCTATAACCTCTTATATTTTAACATCATTCTAAATTATATAGAATGTCAAATTAAAGAACTGGGTTCTGTTAATTTGAGAAACATGTAAGGTATTATGACAACTTTCAAATTAGAAAGATTCTGTAGGCCTGGGTAAGCAAATGATGAACCTTAGCTAGATACAGCACTATTTATTTAATAATTTTCTCCTTATTGAACATTTGTTTTTTCCATCTTTTCCTTCTTGTCAGTAATACTGTGATGCACATTTGTTACAACCTGCTCTTCCCACATTTTAGATTATTTTCTTGGGACTGATTACTATAGAAATGAGTTTATGAAGTTGGAGGCTTTTAGTTTTTAGAGACCTTTTATTTTTATACATTTTTGCTGAATTGCTTTACAAATGGACTGTGCTACTCTTCATTGCCACCATTTTTACCAGACGTTGCTTTTTGATGCTAGTTCCATGAATACATGATGTAACATACTACATCCCTTTGAAAAACATCCAGTACTGCTTTTCATGAGAACTGGTGACCTAGGAGAAAGGAAGCAGATGAATGGATAGAGAAGTGCACAGGCAAATGTAGAACTTTCTGTCAAGGTTTTAGATCTCCATTTCAGTGATGTAGTCAAGCTGTTCATTGTATTATTAAGAGTAAACAAGCAAAATTAAGGAGGGAAGAATGAAAGGAACTTGAGCTCAGTCTGGAAGGCTTGCAGTTAAAGTCTAGCCTAGTCCTAAGGTTGAACTAGCACCCATTCTGTAACACCAGAGTTTACTTGACTTCCCAGGGAAAACACCCTTGCTTTGGGGGCCTTAAAATTAGGTATGGGGAAAGTCTTAAGGCTGTATGTTAGGTTCTTAGAATTTATTAGAGACAGGGTTTATTTCAGTCTTATATTTGACATAACCTAGTAGATAGGGTTCATATATAGAAATCCTGCTAATTTGAATTAGTCTTTTACTCTGTGGGTCCTAGAAGAAAGTTTTATATATAACCATTGCTTTGTTATTGACTTATTAAGGAATGTTAACAATGTTATTGGTTTGGAATTAAAATATATTTAGAACATTCAGCAGTTGTGATGATGATTAGTATTATTAGCTTTCCTTCTCCCTCTTCCCCTCTCCAAACACTTCAAGACGCTTTCAAAATTTCCACCCATCTGACCATTCCAGCACATAATCCTCTTCTCCTTTGAATTCTTTTTGTCCTTTTTTGTTCACACCATTTATGCTGATATTCACAGACTGTTGATATTAATATGTAATTGTTTTGTGAGTGTTGGACTTATTTTCCCAATGAATTATAGTAAACATCTGAAGGTCAGGAACCATATCTAATACTTTTACATCTTTCCCAGCAGTCTTAACAGCACCGAGAGTGAGTGGAACTATACAAAATAGGATTCCAGCTATTAATCATGGGTCAGTAAATCATTGTGGAGAAACAAATTACCTAGATAACTTAAAATTAAACTTTTAAATGCCGATGTGCTCATTTTAACCACTGTTTGTTGGATTTTTAAAATAAATATACTAATGATTTCCATGGCTTCAAAAGTTGAAGACATATGACAATAATCTGAGTTTTTAATCTTAGACTGTAAGGTAGTGCATGACAGAAAGGGTAATGAAACATGACCATCACACATAAGGAAGAAAGAAGATAATGAGTTTACCTAAAGACTTATCTCCATCACTGTTGCTCTCACTGTTTTTGATTTTGTTAGCAACATTCCAAATTTTACTTGGGTTTTCCACAGAACACATTATCATCTTGTGCCAAGTGTGTTCATAGGTCCAAAAAAGAATTTAGAGGAGAGATTTTTCCAAAACATACATGTTTTTCACCAGCATGAAAAAATAAAACATTTTTCTCTAAAGACAGTTTTCTCTAAAATCTCCTTAATGTTTTACTTCTAATAGAAATATTGACACGTGCAAGCTTTAGAATTATATCTCTGATGTTATAAGAAATGGACATTTCTTTTAGTGCACATATGGTAAATCACCTTTATCATAAAACCTCTGGTAATATCTACCACCCTTTTCTGAGTAATATCTACCACCCTTTGTGTTGTGCTTTATAGTTTCAAAGCACTTTCATAAATCTTTTATCATTTGACTCACACCACAGCATGGAGAGCTAATTAACTCCATTTTACAAATATCCTGAAAGCTTAAACAATTTATAGAAGATCATATAGTTAATAAGTTGCAAAACCAGGTCTCAAATCCAATGATTTCTGACTCTTCAGCTATTTCTATCCATATGGTAAATCCGTGAATTATGTTGGGCAGAAAGAAGGTTGATAGAAAATATTACCAAGTACATACCTTGTTCTCTTATGCATAATGCTACAATTACCTCACAATAAAATAATTTCTATCCTTAAGCAAGCCTTTGATTCTGAAATGAGTTTTTCTAATTGATAATAGAAAAGGATTCAAGTTTCAGACAAAAATGAATGTTCTTTTCCTTAACTATTAGAATGCTTAATAATAACTAAGTTTCTGATAACTTTGAAATATCTAGGGTAATGTTTTATGATCACCAATATTTTTGTCTTCAAGCTAACTAGGAACACATATTTCAGTGACCCTTGCTAAAATAGAAGCTAGTTAAGAATTGTAAAATACAGATGAGTTACATACACATACATACTATATACAGGTAAGAAGCTGTGCTTAGGAATATGCTTGACCATAAGTGCCTCACTCTATTCCTGTTCTTCTGCAACATGTTAAACTTAGATTTTATTTTATTCATTTCCTATTAAGTATCTAGAAACCAAGTCCTGGCCTTTTCTCTTCATAGCCATGTGAACTTGGAAGTGTCAATACTTCCCTGAAGTATAGTCTAGCTTTAAGTATTTGTGATTCTGAGAATTTGTAAATGAGATTGCCATGACTATGTTGTACTATTTCTAGGGAGCATAGAAAGCCATTCTGCTACCCTGATTTAAAGTTGACAGAGGTTTTGCTCTGTAGGTTTCTGGCCACTGGTCTATGGCTCCATGAGATACACTGACTTTTAGGGCAAACCTAAAATACAGACCAAGTGATTGAAAAGTTAATTTTTGTTTCATATAAATAAACAGTTTTCAAACCAGTTATTTTATCATGTAAGCTTCTGCTTAATTGTGTGTTTGTTTTCTATCTGGCTTCACTAATTTTGTGAGCTTGGCCAGATCTTTTCCCCTTTACTCTCCTTTAGTTTCCTCATCTATAAAATGAAGATATTAATAGTAATTTTAATTAATTATTAAAACTCATGGGGTTGTTATGGAGTTTAAATGTGTTAATATTTGTAAAACATTTG